TACTTATCTGAACCACTCACCTCAAGCCTCTTCTTTTGTTCTGCTATTTAAGTAGGTATATTGGTACCTTGTTTCATGTCATGATGCTATAAATATTCTCCCAGCATTACAGACGACAGATTACAAAAATATTCCATTTCACATAATGAGATGAATGTAATTTCAGTCATTATGAGACCCCTGGCATCAATGGCTTCCACAGCTGGAAATCGATGGATTGCTTTATGTTGTAGCCTTATGCAACTGCACATAGAATTACTCATTTCTTTGATTTATATTGTTTAGCAAGTAAAACCTAGATCTTGTGCAGAAAATAACACTCCATTTTACATTCACGCTTTGGTTCATTGAAATAGATCTTGAAATTACATGTGGGATTTTAGACTTTTCAGTTTCACACAGCAATTCACAAATTTGAACAGGCATAGCTGAACAGATAGCTACAGTTTTGATTTTAAACACTGCTATTCTTATAAAGTAGCAGCATATTTCTGTGATGTTGGCTGGACTTCTTTCAAAACACTCAGCCAGGTGTAACCATTCTTTAGCCTCATTTTTTTGATGTGTAAATGAACACTAGAGGTTAAATCAGACCGACATGCACTTCTCTTCTAAAAATTCTGAAAGTGAGCAATGCAAAACTGCCCTTCTGAAAAGTCAGTAAAATAACAAGATAGATAAGCTAGATGAGATACAAATAGAAAAAGAAGGGACAGGAAGATGCAAAGAAATTAAGAAACTGAATGTTCATATTTGTAAAAACTTTGACACATTTTAAATGTTTAATGTGAATAAGAGATTCATATTGTCCCTTCCCCCTTTTACATCCCTCTCCCATCCACTCTTGTGGTTCCCAAACATGCCTTCTTCCACTGTGCAGCCTGATTCTCTGCATGTCCTTTACATAGGTTCCTCTGATATAAGCTCTATACTGGAGATGGTAGCAAAACTGCAATTGTATTTAATATTTTGTTGCTAAGTTTTTCGGCTTGGTGTGTTTTTTGCAGACATCAGCTCCAACCTGCCTGGGCTTGTTAGCTGAAACATGGCTAAACTGCCTCCAGAGACAGCTCAAGTCTGAAAGCATCTGAGCTCCTTTCTCTCAACCTGAGCTCACAAACTCTCACAGGAGAGGCTCCTCATGATGCTCAGCTTTGACACCTTATTCCCAGTACTGGCTGTGTTTAAGGAACAGTCAGGGGAGATCAGAGCACAGTTTGCTCCAAGCTGGCCTCCAAGACCAGGCTGACCCCACAAGCAGCCCCTGGGTGATGTCTGGGCCACCCCACCACACTCCCCATTTGGGATCCTTGAGGACTGATTGAATAGCCTCAGCCTGGCACAAACGCCTCAACTGCCACCCCCCGCCACAGCGCTCAGCGCTGGAGGACCCGCTGCAGATATACGCAGCCAACCACAAAATCATTCGCTGCAAAGTGCAAAGTGACCCATTTCGCGTGCAACATACATTTCTCTTCCGTCAGTTCTCGGCACTGGGTTCTCCCTTTCCCAGCCCTGCCCATGCTTTCCAGTGGGCACCATCCCCTCCCCAGGGAAAGCCAGCAGTGCTGTGCTCACCGCCCTGCGGCATGCTGCCACACAAACCGCCTTTTCCAGTTCCCTGCACCCAGGCTCTCCGTATCTTCCCAAAGAGATAATGTGCAAATTCACAGTTCTCTCTCTCCAGTTTGGCTAGTGTCTGTGCTTTTCCACTGCTTTCAGACATCTCTAATCAGGGAAGCATCAGCACAGCTCCAAGATGAAGATCACCTTTCCCCCTGCACCTCCTCCATATCCCGATTCAGTCCCTCCAGGCCCTGCCCTTCTCTCCCCAGCTCAAACTCAGGGGCACTGACACATTTATAGAAATTAAGCAAAACATTTTCTTCAACATGCAGGCTATGCCATTTGGCAGTATGTGGAATTGGAGGGAAAAGAAAAATAAAAAAACATTGAAGTCACGGCATTTCAGAAATGCTCTGAGCACGGTCACATTTGCAGAAGGAACCTGACCGGGGCAGGAGATTTGAGACTGCATTAGAAAGGTTGCACATAGAGCAGCCCTGCAGTTACTGATGCAAACACCCACCCACAATACGGTCTCGGTCCTGTTCTCAGCACAGACCCGGGGGTACCGGCACACCCCAGGGAGATGCCCCCTGTCCAGGCGCAGGGCAGAGGCCCACCCTGCCCGGGCGACGAAGAGGCCAGCAGCGGGTTACGGCGGGCCCAGCCCCGG